ATTTTAGTAATACATAGAATTTCCACAGTCACTTTAAACTTAACAACTTTTATAATGCACGCTATAATCACAGCGATTCACATAACTTCACTCTATGCGACTGCAAAACACACACAATTTACGGCTCAGCGTCACTACTGTTCGGTTGACTCAATTATCTATCTCCTCAATCCCGCTGGTTTTTCTCGCCAGGCTTATATACTAAAAAGAGGGCGTCTCGAATGCACTCATGCCTTCATGATCATTCGAGAAATTTCACGCACGCTACTAGCGCCAAATGCACCTGCAGAGTCACGTGACTTCCGCTGTCGTAACAGTATAATACAAATAGTAATTGGTCACTTTGAGTGCCTTATGACGAACATCACGTACGTGCGTAGTGGTATATGGGATACTAAATGCCTCTAAACTTCTAAAGTCACCAGCTGCCTAAAGCTCGTGCGTCCGTTAGAAACGATGAACGATTTATTTACTATCACTTACCTATGGCAACAATATCGTGTCCAGTGTACACTTTTCCAGACAATTTAATGTTATTTTACATGTTCACAAGTTTATTTACGATAATTTTGAAGTCTATAAATAAGTGTTGTGCCTATAACTACGAAGTTGTATTATACATTAAAAAACACTTGGTAATTTAAACCAGTAAGTATCTCTTGTCACATCTGTGCTTTTATTAAAATATCCTGCATATATAACAAAGAATTCTGCGAAACCTCGACATGTAAATATAACAGACATGCATTTTACAATACTGGCTGAATTAAACTATCAAACACGCGTGCTGAGAAATCAATAAGACAACTTGTATATATATTAGCATTACTGATTACAAGGCAGAGGCGTCGCTAGGTGCTTAAAAGATTCGGGGCTCGGGAATTTTCAGAGTTTCACTATGATATTAATAATGGTTTTCTATTTTGATTTTTTCAAGACACCATCTGGGAATTTGGAGCACGTGCCAGCGCCTGTGTTACTAGGACTTGTCTAAGCTGCACGTAACTGCAGCCAAACTTTTGTTCTCACTGTTTCCTACAGTGTACACGTAGCGTAGCTAGTCATAATTAAACTGGAGTTCTATTCGGATAAATACAATAACGACTTAACGCAAGTTAATGGTGTTACACAATATTAATTTGTTAGACTATTATAAAATATAAATTAGACAATGTCTAGCAATGAAAATCGATTAGTGAATTTACATATCACTCTAGACTTAAATACGGAGCAGGTTCCAAACTCTGTGGACTCCTCCCCCAAACCCTCGGCTGTTTAATATGACGTTACTAAAGGGTAATTAATTTCTGGGAAAAATTGGTGGGGTCCAGACACCTTGGACCACCCCCCCCCACCATGCCTGCTTCTACAACACTAAATAATAGTCACCCAATAAGATTAGAAACATAAACTCTTAAATAAAGTGTAAATTTATAATTTTTTACAGCTCCCTTCCTCCGTTCCATATGAGTGACAGTGATAAGATAGCCTTTATATAGTTAGCTTAAGCAGCCAGAGAGTTGGCGGTGGGCGTTGTCAGCCAGTTGCCTTCCCTTCGCTTAGTTGTATTTTAGTGGGATTATCGTATTTCGATTAACCGATTATTGGAATAATCCAAAACATTAATAATAGATTTCGATTAATTCTATTTTCGTGACATTAATAGATTATTACAATAATCCAAAACAATACCAATTTGAAACACTAACTTCGATTAATGGATTAATCAATTAGTCACCACTCTTAAGTAATCGATTCACTTGGCCAGCACTATAAATCAGTAACTGAAAAGAGTAACAGTAAAACTGGAAGTTACAGAAAATAATTCAGGGATTGTTTTAATCCTTTCCAAACTACATTTTGTAAGTTTGTCAAAGTTCCATGCAGTTTCATTAAGTATCACCAATGTGAGAAGAAGGAAAGAGAAAAAGCTATATCGGTGAAAGTTCCCTTATCTAGTTTTCGCATTTTAAATTTCGTACAATCTGAAATTAGTATTTCTATAGTTTCATGAATGTGAAACCTCGAAAATTTTCTTGTGAAACAGTTAACACACTAGGCAGTGCTACGAAGTAGCCTCCCTCCCATTACTCAGTGGCAAGTCTGAAGTCTTACAACGCCAAAAACCAGGTTTCGATATTCGTGTGACAACAGAACATACAGCCTGTTATATACTTTGTACTTAACAAGAAAAAAAAAAGTTACAAAGTTACTCATTGAATGTGTTTTTATCACTTTATTTGACGTGGACTGCATAAGTATCATTTTTGTTTTCAATAATTTTTGCTGATCTACCCACATTTAAAAAAACATTTTAAACCAATATGGTTTCTTGATTAAGCTTCATTAAAAGCTAATAAGATGTCTGTACTTAAGCTTAACTGCCTACACTCTGGATAACGAGCGACTCTTCTAGTTAAATGATGGTGAAACAGACAGACAAAAGAGATGCGACCCAAGCTTTCAAAATAACAGTTTTAATAATAAATCTTTTAGTACAAATTCTTTAAGAGTTACCAATCTCCTGTCTTCTCATTATTTTTAAATAAGTTAGATAAAGAATGATCAAGAAAATAGGACATAAATAAAAAGACAGAATCCAAGGATTCAGGAAAAGCTTCTGGATAGCAACTCCTAACTTCCACTGATTCCACCACACCTAACTTTATGTGGGTGTACCTACATTTTAATTGAACAGAAATATGATGTGGATGGTGAATTATGGCACAAAAAGAAATTTTTGTTGCATCTACAGTCACTTATTTTGGTCATATTGCTTGAATTGTCTACTTAATAGAAACCAATGGTGCATTTTAGCATATGGGAATAGCAATTTACAACTGGTACTGGTTTATAGGCATTACCAAATGATTATCTCGATGCTATTTCTGAACAATGGAATTCTTAATCATTACTTTTGTTCTTACTATTATTTGTGGCATTACAAGTTGTTATACTAACTACACGAGTGTAATTCTAAATTTCTTTTGAAATTAACTACACTTTTTAATAACATTGTCAGGAATTTTCCATAGCGAGTACAAGCTAATTTCTGAACAAACTTTTAGTATTTGGCAAAGAATACACTAAATGAAAAATTAATAACATTTGTTGTAGTTTTAAATATGTTTGTAAGAAGAATAAAAAAAAGTAGCAGATAAAATTAGTCACTAAAACTCATTAATACACTTCAAACCGAAAACTGTGCAAGCAGTGATATAATAAACATTGATATTACTAGAGTACAAAAATTGGAATCATACTTTTTGGAGTAAACAATTATATATTTCATCAGTTTATCCATTATAAAATTAGTGTATTTTGAGAAAACTGTTATTTTCCAGATCAAGACAACTAAATTATATTAATATCTAAAACTTTATGTTTATCAAGGGAATGCATGTTTTCAAGAACTATCTGCTCTCAGATATGTTCATTTATGATGCTATAGAACTTCATCACTCTCAATGAAATTGGTCAAGTAGTGTCGATTTACTCCAAATACTAGAGGTAATGGAACTGATGGTGATTTGCGTTCATTGAATTTAACCCTCACACCGCCGGTTGCACCACTTTGACTAACCTGTCTTATGGATTATTTTATTATATTGCAAAAAATTAAAAAAAAAAAACACACACACACACACACACACATATATACTGGATGAAATAGTGTAAACTTCAGATAAATTTTCTACAGATTATGTAGTTTCTGTTGAAATTTACAACAAAAATAAGCATTTTCAGTTGTTTCCTAACAAATATCACTTTGAAATATTTTGAATTTTCAAAGCTGCATATTAGTACAAATTTGTCATATAAAAATGATATATTTTGTTAATGATTTTTAAGTCTTCCTGCTGCAAGTATATCAAGCATTTTCTACATTTTATTTCAATGTAGAATTTTTCAGTTTTAAAATTTATTTTAGGCATGTACAGTTTCATATAACATGTGATCAAAAAGTCAGTAAGTTGATTTCATTCCAGCTACCTTGTGTTTTATCATTTCCTCAGAGATTACACCTGGTTTGTCCATGAAGGGATATGACTAAAAAGCTGCATCTTGTGTAAGAACATTGACAGCAACATTCTCCAATGATGGATCCGGTGATATAGAGGTTACAACCTCTCTTATGTTTGAATAGAAATGACCAGTCACATAGTTAGCTGTAGTTTCTTACCTTTAGGTAAGTCTGATGTTACCGGCTCAACTAAGTAACATGAAAGTTATAGTCTAGAACATAATTTTGAGCGAGTCATCCAATTTGGAAATTAAGTCTTGAGGAACCAAACTGATCAACTCACAACTCCAGTAAATGTGACTATCTAGAACCCAAGTACACACACTGTGTTTGTTATATTAATAAAGATTGTCTTCATTGTGTATCCTACCTTGCATCCAGTTAATTTATTTCTTAGCACAGACCCAGTTAGTTTAAGTGGAATCCAGTATTACTGTACTTCTCAAGCCTTCCATTATATAGCAGACCTACCTAATTTATTCTTTCAGTAAATCAGTTTACCTTAAAATACCACATCCGTTTACAAGTTTCCAATAAAGTTTTTCTTTTCTAAAACCGTAAATTGATCTGTTTTGATTCGAAAGGCATTAAACACAGTCCTATTGTGTTTATGATCATTGGCATATAATAAATTGTTTACTACAGCACAATTATAAGCAAGGCACCTTTTTAAAAATTATTAACCAATAGGACTCATTCAATATATATAATAATGATAAGTCTAACATTTTTTAAAAATTCAATGGTGCAATTTTGCTAGGAGCAAAATTTAATCATCTAAGTGCCATAGAGTTAAGTACAGTCATTAATTTTTTGTTTAAAGCCGCCATTCTTTAAATTTTACCTCATGGTCTTCATAAAATCATTAGCAAAAGTGGCTTATACCATTTCTGCTGTAGCTCATTGGGACAGTTGTTTGCCTTTTAATGTATGCTTTGATCAGTGGAGACAGCAATGCAGTCTATGGTACTACAAGAATGTTAACAGGGGTTTCTTATTGTTTCAGATCATACTACAGTCAGTGAGAGATTATTTTTACACAACAGTTTTTTTTATTTGTTTGTATAAAACTTTCTGATCAATGAAAAATTTTTAAATTTGGTCAAAGATTACAATTTATTTCTTTACCACAAGATGAGACAAAGACAAGAGTTATTAATGCTTGATTAACAACTGATGCCTTTGAAATTTTCTACAAGATATATGGTGTGAAGAAACCTGTGCCATTTGTTAACATTATGGGACAGTTTGAACAACATAACTTCAAATATTACTATACATCCTTAAATCCTTTACTATGTCATCAGATGTTGGTTTATGTAAACACAAACTATATTTTAAACTGAATTAATGTCTTATAGTTTGGCAGTTTGATACAAAAATTGGAAGTGAAAAATAAAACCAACATTAGTCAAACTGATAAGAACCATGTACATCCACAAAACATAGGGAATCAACATACTTATAAACCACAGTAACTAACATCTAATTATGGAAATCTTTCTTTATTTGTAAAAAACAAAAGCATAACACCAAGCAGTGAAATTTATGAGTTTTGCTTACATTTCATGTGACATCACATTTATTAAGAAATCTGTATAATAATCCCTTTTTGACAACTAAATGATGTAAAAGCCTTCTTTTAATATTAATTAAGCCAACAAATTAAAAAAAAATATTTCCTCCTTTTCCATAATTTAAAGATTATTTATCTTGGTTAGTAACTGAAATCAGTTTTGAGTTTACAATTTGAACACTGTATAATAAGAATATATGGGCATATTTTTAGGTGTTCTTTGACAACTGGCTTGTGCTTTCATACAGTATTATAGCATAATATACTATATCCTTTTCATAAGCACTTTAATTATTACTCTATAACATTATGTGGTAGAGAGACAAAAAAAATACAGTAATTAATACAACTCTACTTAAATAGACACTAAATTTATCTGTAATTTTAACATTTTACAGATAAAAAACCTTTGATTAGTTTATCATTAGTGCAATTATTGGTGTGATGAAGAAGTGCAATTTAATGGGCTATATGTAAAGTTGAGTCTGCACTTTTGAATGATCTACCCAATGTTACAGCCTTCAAAATTGTCATATATTAATAGGCACACATATATATATATGTCACTGCAGAGATTTATTATTATCTTAAATTCAGTTTTTATGAATTTCTCTATTGTTCTATGATTAGACATAAAATATGGAAACAAGGAAACACTGTGATCACTACTAAATCAATAACGAAATATAATGAAGTTTAAAGCACTTACATATTAATTTCTGTTAAATGTTTAGTCCATGCTGTAACATATTTATTTAGCTTCCTTAGAAACTGCTAGTGATTGACTGTCTAAATGTTCTATTTAAAAAGCAATTCAATACTTAAGTAAATTTCCAACACCAAGATAGGATAGTGGGAGAAAAAAAATGTTTATAATGAATATTTATCTGATTTGTTGTAATGATAACAGGCAGCTGGTTACAAAGAATTGGTAAGAGCTTGTAATTTTTCTGCAAGTTCTTCCTTCTTACGTGTGATGGCAGCCTCCGACTCGACAAAAGTCAGTTTGTTCATTTTTCCAGATATCAGTTTCTCAACAAGTGTCATATGATGGTGAAATTGTTCTTTCAGGTTACGATCAAGGCGTTGCAGCTCTGATATCTAAGTAAAGTAATCAAGAAATTATGTTAATATATAAAAACAAGCATTTAGAAGTAATTTTGCATGAAAACTATAATGCATATATCAAAAAATTACCAAAGAAACTAGACTTTATTGGCTCATTATACAAAATTTTAAATTTGAGCTCTTGAAAGACATTCAATTATACCATGCATATTTTCAAAGTTTCTAATAGTCTGTGGCTATTTATGACTGTTATTTATTTATAAGGAGATTTACAACTGTTATAGTACTCTGAAAATCACTGGATCTGTATGTAACATTCCAATCTGAAACATGATGCTTGCATAACAACAACAACACAAAGTAAGCTAAACACTTTATCCCCTTCTGGATCATACAAGTATTATTGATATCCCCTGATTTTTTCCTTCTCATAGTGGAAATGCTCAACTAAATTAGGTGAAACTTTGAACAAACTTACAAAATAATATCTATTTTGGTTTAAAAAATTAATATAATTTGATTGAGTTTTTCTGTAATTTTGCTTTGGGACACTGTTTTTGAAAAAACTTTTCAAATGCTTCCTTCCATCTTGGAATTAATTTTTTTGTTGAACCAGTCAATCTCAACTTAACTGATCTCCATTAAGAAATTCCTTTTGTCAACTACAGTAGTCACCACCTCAAGCTATAAATTGTAAAAAATGTATAAGTTGACAAAGATTTATCAATGACCTAAGACTTGACCACGCAAAATGGCATCAGATCAAGTTAAGTAACAATATTTTTGCTAATTACATTCTTGGTCTAGATGAATTTATATCTAATAAATAGTTTTGTTTTTCAATAAATAATATATTCTTTTGTTTATGAGCAGTGTTTGAATATGATATACTCAACATTATTATTCAATAAATAAAGATTTGAGTCATCAGAACATTTTGTTGATGCCTATGATACTTGCTAAACCTAACTAAGCTGATTGTTGTCTTGTCAAAGAAGAAAATTTCAATACCTTCCAAATAAATATAATTGAACATTAAAACATTTTCAGGAATTAAGATAGCATCTATAGCAAGTATAAAACTTCCTAAAGCTGTGGTTTGTTATTAAATCCTCTAAACTTCCCATCAGATTTCTTTGTTTATCACTTCAGAGAGCCCTAATTAATCACCTTTTCGAGAAACTATAAATTACTGCTCAAACCACTTTATTTGTTCTACATTGATGAAAACAGTTTATAATCTGCTCTATCCTGTTGTATTTAAATATTGGCTATAGCAGTTTTCAAAATTGTACAATCAATAATTGCTCAGACATGTTGTTATCTCATACACAAATTAGAGGGTTTAAGATAACTGAAACAACAAAGGAAAAAATTTATGTACTTTATTTATATGCTATACTTTGTCTAATGTTTAGTAAGAAAAAATGTATTCAAGAAAAGCCTAAAGAAAGATTACTAGATGTTATACATTGGTGATAATTAGATGTACCAGTTCACAAGTTGTTTAGCTTGTTTACATATTTAATAGCAATACATTTTCTTTTCTTCATGTCATGACATTTAAAAGTGTTTGATGAACTTCAGGACTATGATAAGCAGTCCTTGTTCCTTCAGAGAATTTTTCATTTCACTGGTATGAAGCAGAGCTCCATCTATAAATTTGAAGAAGTGGATAAATATGTTTGCTAAAAGAAATTTTTGAAAACTTTTGGAATTACCAAGTGTAGACCAAACATCTTGAAGGCAAGTTCCTCAATTTGATCAAAAAGTGCCAAAAGAGGGAAGCACAAAAATCAAGCTCACATGACACCAAAATCTATTCAATTGGCAAGAATTTCAAAACATTGTTAACATGAATGAACTCGGCAAATAACCTATATATATAAACCACTGTCTGTTGGTAATGCTCAAATTGCCTCAGTGGTTAGAGTGCCTGAACCTCAAGCAGAAGTCTCAGTTTCAAATATTAGTACATTTGGAATTTTTCATAAATAATTGATAATGTTTAAAACAAGCTCTTTCAATATTCATTAGCACTGGATTCCAAACACTGAACTCCAAAATGTCTCAGTGGTTAAAGTGCTCAATCCTCATGTAGAAGTCTCAGTTGAATCAGAATTATATATATATATATATATATATATATATATATATATATATATAATATATATATTAGTATACTTATTATTATATACTATCTATACACAGATTATCATAGTATTAGTTACGTACTACTAGTAAGTAAAGTAAGT